CATACACGAGGCTTACGAAAGAAACAAAAGGTCATATAATAAAAGAAGTAGAGTTGTTTCCTATAAACCCGGTCAAGAAGTATATCGAAAAAACTTCGTCCAAAGTAATTTCAAAAAGGGTATAAATTCAAAGCTATGTAAACCCTGGATTAAGTGTAGAATAAGACAAGTTCTAGGAAATTGTCTTTATCTAATTGAAACCCTAAAAGGAGACCTAATAGGAACTATTCACGCACAACATCTTAAACAGTAATGTTAGTTATAATACTTATGACTATAATTAATCTTAAAATCTAAATTCTCACCAAATTCCAGGTAAAGATTTTAAATCATATCCATTTAATGATGCTTAGTTCCGATAAATTCAAATATCCATACTGTAAAAGTTGTATCCATTCACTACCTACAAAAAGAAACAGATTAATAATCGAACTAATAATAATAATAAAATCTATTATAAACTGTAGACACAATTTTCGTACAAACCACACACACAATGAAATTCCATCTATCCACATAGTCCTCATGAAGTACCTGAAAAGAAATAAAAATCTGATTAGACACTCATTAACACTAGTACACATTTGGAAAAATACTTTCCTTTCAATAAATCTGCCTAAAAACATGGATGCTTAATTCTGGCCGATTCAATGTAGTCTGTCTGTTTACATTCCAAAAAAATTATAATGACCTGTAATGAAAGTGATTATAAATACTGTTCGCAAAATAATTATCCATACAATTCATACCATTTTGTTGTTCTAGCTAATTCCCAACACTTTTACACTCCACAGGCTGCGTGAAAAGTATTGGCTTTGTGACAACCACCTTCTGGTTGTGTATGAATACCTTAGGCCATACTTCATATTTTGTCTCATCAATCCAAACAAATGTATTTTGTGGGGCATCACACAAAATATATTGTTTATTATGAATGAATTGCTTTTAATATTCATACTTCACCCGTCACCACATCCATGTGTAACTACACTTCTATTAAACAAATTATGATGTTATCCATCGGAACGGCTATGTTACAGACGACTCTGAAGGTACCAATGTTTGTTCCAAAACATATTTCGTCTAGGTTCTCTTTCACAGATCTGGACAAACTAAAATGTTTATTATTAAGGATACCACCAACATCGTATCCCGAAGAAGAGGATTTTTCGTTATTATTTCAGGCATTTGGCTGCCTCATATTTTCCTCATCATGTCTTTCAATCCTGAAAGAAAAAAAGAAAACATTTATCCAATTTGTTATTAATTATTTTGATAAGCACTTACCCTTTTTCCATCATTCATTGTGAATGAACATATACCACCAGCAGCAACCAACTGAAAACACCAAACAAATATAATCACCTCCAAAGTATTCTCGATGGGAAATATATACCTCGATGGGAAATATTTGCACCAAACCAAGCAGCAACTATATTTGTCGTCCCCATCCCTCCTTTTTTGTATTTTTTTTTAACAATAATATTATTCGGATTCACCGACTCACCAATCCAATAAAAAAATGTAAACAAAAGATCTATAGGGATTCTTAGATCGAAAACTGACCTTTTCGCTTTTGATGGCGTTACTACACCAAACTGTTCCCAGGTGAAATGTTGTACGATCGGCAGTACAAAATGTTGGATATGTCGATGTTGAACAATAAATCGCATCATATCCAAACAAATATATAAAAATGATTTTTATCATTTTTATGATAATAAAATAATAATAACAATTGTTGTAATATTGATTAATAATATTAAAAATAATAATATTAACAAAAAAACATAAATAAATTATTAAATAATCAATGACATCACTGCCCCCTACAATTGCCGCCGAACATTAAAAATTTGCAAGATCCCTCTATATGGATCGCCAAACATTAAAAAAATTTAGGACCCACCATAGTTGGAAAAATCCGATTTTTCATCACTGGTATGAAAATCCAACGTGTGAGGCTAACCTTAAAAAGAATCACAGTGAACAATCAGTTTGTCACATTGAATACGAGAGGTCACCAAAAGTCAAGCAAGTCAAGTGGTGAAATTTTATCATTAAAAAAATAGAAAATCACGATAAAATTGTAAAAAAAAATATACAGTTATATATTTTTAAAATCGATAATTAATAATTTCCGGATAATTTTGTTGGTTAACAAAATTTTAAGATAAAAAAAATCGACTGAACAAGATATTCGGAATATAGTGGTAAACCAAAAATACCACAGCTAAACTATTTGCTGATTTTTTTAACCGCGGCAATCAGCAAATATAAGCTGTGAAATAAAGGCGGATACACCACATATCACAAACATATTTCTATGGTGACAGAAATAACAAAATGAGCCTAAAAGAAACCCCACAAAACATTAATTAAAATCCTCAGGTTTGGAAAATAGAACCAAAATTTGAGTGAGTACCAAAACCCAAAAAAACTTGCTATAACCTCAAACCCAAAAGTTGCCATAAAGAACCATAATCTAATGATCCACGTGATTACATCATTCACAATAATTACATAACCATTTTCATTTTATAAAGAATATTTTAAGGCGTTAGTAATTGCATTACAATTATACCGTATTAAGGGTATTCACGAAAATATCCTACAATAATTAAAATTGATTTAAAATAAAAAAAATATATATACTTAGAGAAAACATATAATTTGCATAAAAAAATTCTATGATATACGATAATATAACTTAAAAATAATTTTTAAAAGAAAGAAATATGAAAAATTAAAATAAGATACCTAAAGTAAATATTAATCAATAATACTAATTTAAAAATACATATAAATATAAAAACAGATAAATAAAAGAAATTGTATATATAATATATAATAAATAAAATAATGTAAGAAAACATAAAAATAAGTGCATGCTATTAAAAGTTAAAAAGACATATTATATATTATAAAAATCATATTCTAATCAGAAAGAATAAGAAAATTTACTATTAAACTATTGTGTAAAATATTTAGAAATACTTCAAATTTAATAAATTGGTTTAGAAGAATAATAACTAAATTTAAATTTGTAAATTTAAAAAAAAAAAACGAAATTAAAAATGAATATTATTTATCTGATGATTTTTTGAAACTTGTTAATATTTAATCAAAATGTATTGATTTCTAAACTAAAAATGGGTTGAAAATTAATTAGATAGCGGCTGATTTGATTGTGTTTGGGGTATTTTCAAAAATTAATGGCATGAAAATACCATGGCTGACTGAAAAATGTCATAAGGGGAGGGAAAAGCCATAGAGGTGTAACATCTAAACCTCGTTAAAGTGGAAATCTATATGGTGTTCAATTTAAACTATGGCTTAATGGTATAATATTTTGGAATACATCCGATTAATAGAATTAAATTTAACTTATCATTTATTTAACTTCGTTTGAATTCAAAAACAGGTATAAAATTTTATATTGACATTTAAAGCGGAAAGAATCCACCCATTTCCGGCGAGCTAAGCCGCAGCCTAAGACCTGCATACCAAATCCGCTTAAAACTAGTGTCACAATTGTGTTGAATAAGAAAATGTAAAGAAAAATGTTTACTTAAACCGATCCAAACATTTTGTACCCTCTATCAGAATGTTTTCAAACTGCAAATGCATGCATTCGGATTTCGAAGCAAAATAGTAGTTCTGTTACAAGTTTTGGAACTTATTACTCGAAAAGCCTTCTTGTACCCATGCAACTAGTAAAATATTTAACCTAATCTAAGAGATTTGACGTTTACTTTACAAACTCTTTACTCTAGAAATTGGGCCGAGTAAAAATGGTGGACATGAATGCAACATTTCATTGGGTGTTGTTTTGATTTTAAAGTTGTTTTTATAAAAAAAACATATTTTGTGTATGTGTGTGTTCAGTTTTGAATACCATGACAAATAAATTCTAATTAAATTTTAAAATATTCAAATTTAAGTCTCAATTTAGATTAGGCGAGTTTACTTGCGGCAAGTCTTTGACTGTAAGAGAGAGGGGCAAGGGGAATCAAGAAATATTTTCGAAACTGAATTGCCTTGTATAGACGCATGAAGCAAGTTCAAAAGGGAACGATAATAATTGCCGCAAGTAAACTCGCCTAATATAAATCAGGACTAATTGAAATTTGGAAAGACGTCATACACTTTTGGCGATTTTAGTTATGTGTTGAAAAAATGTCAAATCAACAAAACAACCTGTTGCGTGTATTTATTTTATATTTGACAGAAGAATTCACTACCTACAGATTTGCTTTTTAACTTGAGGTGATTAACTCAAGATATTCTACCTTGTAGTACTTTACCATGGATTAAAACTCCATTTCGTGGTATTCCCTATTCCATTTTGACAAGTTATCATAACCTTTCGATTACTTTTCGCGTTTTTAATTATGTATTGAAAATGGCAAATAAACATAACCACTTGTTGTGTATATTTATTTTATATATGACGGAAAAAGCCACTACCTACAGAGTTGCTTTTTTGTTTGTTATTCACCACAAGTATTCCTACCTTGTACTATTGTACCATGCTAATAACTGATTTTGCATAGCATTTCATAATCTGCTTATAAAATAAATTTTTATTTAAAGTGAGTTTTTTTTTTTTTTGTCGAACCGCCTACGATTTTATCTAATCTCAAGTAAATATTCATCAAAAGTCATAACCCTTATGATGATATCGTTTCATAATTTCAGTCAATATCACATTGCAGTCTGGCAATATCCCAGGGAACTTTAAGTTACCTTGAATTATGGTAAAGATATAGAAAAGCAGAAATGTGGAGAAAATGGTAGAGGACCGAATCGATGATTTCCATTTTCTGCATAGCTAATTATGGCTATAGAAGGGGTTTCATGGGTTTCAACAATACCCTTGTGTAGTGCAAAAAAATACAATTTTTTATTTCTTAAAAATAATTCCATTTTATTTCCAAGGAAATTCATACTTAAAATAAACCTTATTTCTAATTTATCTTTCAGATAATATTCACACGTCAAACCACACAATACTCATAAAGATATTGACGAGCTTTAGCCATATTTCCACTCGAACGATATATAAGATGTAAATTAAAAGCAATTTCTTGTTTTAAACTTAAAATCTCTGGGTGTTTCTCCAACAATGGGTGGGTGAAATTCAATGCCTTCTCATAGTATTCCACGGCCAAATGAAACAGGCCACATTGATGATAGATACGACCAATATTATAATTAACTTCTTGATATGTTACCGAATTCTCCATTGAAGCATCGACGTTATTGGGTGATATGGCAAAAGGTTTACATCTCATTTCGGCATATTTATGAGCAAAGACCATGGCCTGTGTGACGGCAGCACATTTACGTAAAACTTTCTTTTGCATTGAGATTTGTTGAAATATCACCGCAATACAGAGGGCCAATATTGGGGTCGGTTGTTCCTTATACATTGGCACATAAACATTTAAAGCATACTTATAGGAGCTACAATGCAAATGATAATGACCGGTTAAGATGCGCATACCTTTGGCTTGTGGCTGGCGTGGTATCAAACGATTCATATAACGATGATAACGTAAATCTTGTCCTTTTTGGATTAGCAGACACATGAGATTCCACAATGGTTTGGAACTGGCATTTTTGTGTATCAACTCTCTTAGATAGGAGAATGCAATAGAACAGTCATTATTGAAATAGCAAGCCAATATAATAATGCGTTCCAATTCAACATGATAGCCAACAAAACGTTTTGTTGTGACCATGGCAAAACACATTCTCTCCAGTATGCTATAGTTTTTGTGCAGATACCCAATACGCATTAGTTCCAAAAATAACTGATATTCGTCATGGACTGATAGATCATCAGTGGCATTATTCGATGATGAACTTTTTGACACCTCCAATGCTTTATCAGCTTCATCGCCAATTATGTTACGCATTTGTAGAATAACTTTTAGACCTTCCGAGTTGTAAAATGATCCACCATTAGCGGCGGCTTGCATCTCTTCACGATTACGTAGCTTGATTGATTGGCGTCCCAATAGCACACAACCAATTTCCAAGAATTCATCAATTTCATTGATTTGCTGTAACATTATGCATCGTTCGTAAAGTAAGCGAGCATGCAGGGGCTGGCCTTCATGCTCCCCAGATTGTTCCAAGGCCTTGACAGCTTCTACATGTCTACCTTGTTGTTTCAACAAGGCGGACAGTGTGAATTTGGCCTCATAACAGTATGGAGCATATTCCACCACTTTAGTATAACTTTCAATGGCCTCATTGCAACGATTCAAGTGCCTCAAGCACTCAGCCTGCTTGAGCCAAATAAAAGCAGGACAATCAATGATATCGCCATCTGTTATGGGACGCAGTAATGATATTGCTTCGGCATATTTATGTTCTTGCATGAGGGCCTCAGCAATATCACAATACAAATTCAGCCTATCCGTTTCCAGTGGTGGTATGTGTTCGTGTATATTCTGTATCAGGTAACCCAACAAGTGATGGGCCTTCAAATTTATCAGAGCCACACATAGCTTAACTCTAAAATCGGGTACATAATCATCGGGTATAACACAATAGAACACCAAATCTAATTGCTCTTCCTTCTCAGTTTCCAATTCCAAATTTGTTCTCTCTCGCAGGCATTGCAGCACCTTGAAATACTGTTTATTAATAATGCACAATTCCATGTACAGATTCAAATCTTCCAAACTGAATAGATGACCACACACAGTGTAGGCACTTTGCATGGCCTCCAAAGCCAAATGATATTTGTTACAACCATGGAAATGCTTAGCCACATTCTTTGCGGTGACCAGACACAATTCATGGCGATCCACCGGACAATGTTGTATCATTTTCAAATAGGTAAACAGGGCAGCTGTCTTCTCACCCATCATATCCAATAGACGTGCCTTGCGCAAACGTAAATCATAATCACGCGGATGAACCTTAATGGCACGGGTATAATAGATGCGAGCCCTTTGCAAATTACCTTGAGCGATATGCATTTCTGCAATGCGTATCCATTGATAGCGATCACTGGGATTTAAATGTACAGCAATTGTGAGGAAATTTAAAAATTTCTCTGTATCTCGAGACTCGTAGATTTCGGCCAATGTAAAGAACGGCTCGGGAGCCAAAGGATTTTGTCTTATAATTTCCAAACAAATTTTTTCCGCCATTTGTATTTGTCCACGGGCAAAACATAAATTTGCCTCACCCATTAAACCCTGCAGCGCTACATTGAGCAGCGAACGTTTGCGTACCCCACCACTGGTGCTGGTGGAACTGGTACATCGTGCCCGACGACTGGTACTTGGTATATCATCTGCATCCATTTTACGATCTTTTCGTGATTGCTTCTTTCTCTTCGGAACCGTGCGACTGGAAAAGTTCAATGCCCCAGGTGGTGCTTCAATATTGGGAAAACCTTGCATTATATTGGCCTTAAATTCTGCCTGCTCCTGCATTTCTTTTTCCTGTGAACTACTAATATCATTGGCATCACTTGTCCCCATAATATCGGTATCGTCCTCCTCTTCCTCGCCATCATCTTCATCATCGGGCTGTTCATGGGGTTCCAGTTTGGTATAGAAATCGGGAAAATCCGCTTCGCCATGAACAAATTTCTGTATTAGATTGCCCTCATCTTCGTCGTCGTCATCATCTGAAATAAGTTGAAGGACTTTTAATGGTTCTGTCTCCTGGAATTGGGATAATTCTTCTTCGGGGACATCATTACTATTGATTTCTTCGATGACCACATCACAGGAGCCAGCAAGATCCATTGTTTTGAGTTAGAGGGTGAGGGATAGCAAAGAAAATATAGAGTGAAACTTATAAAGATTTGACTGGAAGTTTTCAGGTCCAGGAAAAGGTATATTCAGTCCACACCGTTTATGTTTAGAAAACGTTCCGCCTGATACGATTTGAAGCGACAAAAGAGAATGGGCGATAAAGATCGAATACAAAGAATTGTGCATGTGTTTACGAATGAGTGTGAAGCATACCGGCATTACTTGTTTAGAAAGAGGCATGATAAATTGTGGAAATCAGCTGATAGTTTTGGAAACACTAGGGATACATAAGTCGGATTTCGATTAATCGATTAGTCGAATTTTAATGATAATTAAACATTTTTGAGGAAATGAAGAGGATCGTTGATTCAAATAATAAAGAATTTTTGGAACATGTCTAGTTTAGGACCTCCTCGCGGATCGTGGGTGTCAATTTAAAGCATTTGAAGACCTCATTACAAGACTATAATATTCTTACCAAATAAGTCCATATTGGTCTTCAAAATTCCGCGGGAACCTTTTAAGATCAAATCTGTATTTTATTAGAATAGTGTTTGTGGGTAGTAGGCCTTAGACCGGGGATTTAAGACTTTCTCGTATGGGCAAATGGCTACTCCGGCTACGCGACCAAATCTCCTTTCCACATTTTGCTGGTAAATTTTTAAAAATCATGACGATTACAACGGTCCTAACGGAAAATTGCAGGCACATATCTTCGGAAATACCGATTTCCGCAAGAAAAAAGTATACCGTTGGAATCAGGTTATTGGTAAAAATTTCAAACAATCCGCGACCCGAATTCGTAACATTATCGTTATTATCCAATTTTTCAGGCGTAGACACTTTTATCTTAATTGTATGTTTATATTTCTTTCCTTTCAAAAATAATAGACTATCTTTTAAAATTACACACAGATAGCCCTAAGGGTCCTGTTTACAACGATATAATTTTTTCTTTGTGGAAATCCATACGTCCTTTGTTCCGCTAAGAACCTTGTATTTTCCTCAGCCTTTTAAAATGTGCGTATCAATTTAAATCGGTTGAAGTCCTGATTATTAAAATAGTGTTTATTTTATCGAATAAGTCCAAACTTCCAGACATATGGTATAGTACCTTCAAACTTGTGTTTACCTCAGACGTTTAAATTTTGAATATCAATTGACGCAGTTGAAGTCCTCATTACAAAAAATGTAATTATTCTATAGAAGAATTTAATGCTTCCAGAGATATGGATATTCGAAGATCGGTAAGTACCTTCCAACTTTGTTATTATCAAAAATTGTGGTTATAGAGGTTTGCGGTCAAAATATCTAAAATCGCTTGGAATGCTTCTGTGATGACCAGCCATTGTAAAATGTTTTCCAGAAGAAGAGAACGCTAAAATGGAAAATTTGGCTATTATAGTGTATCTCAAACTTTAGTCCATAAAGATATTTCAAACATTAATGAGAATAAAAATATTGGTAATATATTTAAAGGGAAACTCAAATTTTATTTATAACAAATAACACACAATTTACAATATATAACATCTATATAAATGGATACCCTCCACTTGTAATCAATTGCCATTATTAATTAGTAAACGTGCAGTAGTTTCAACATTATCGAACAGATTTAATAATTCCTCTTCTTTGCGTTTAATACGAGCTCTTATATCTGCAATTGATTCGGTTTTAGGCATTTCTCGATTCAGCAACTGATCCATACTTTGAATAAGTCTGTAAAAAATTAATTTATTTTGAAGATATAAAGGTTTTTATAAATATAAGGTTTCTGTCCACATCGAAGAAATTCCAAAAACCACATTTTACAAAAATTCCTTGCTGCGAAGTTCGCCTACTTCTTCGAAATTAATATTTCGCCCTATTCTAAAACCCCTCAATTTTTTTTTGGAAAATGTCCATTACTTACGTTTGATTTTCATCGAATGTATCACGTGATTTGCGTGGAGTTTTTTTTTTACTAACATATGATTTTTCCAAAAATTCATTCAAATCTGTCAAATGTTCCTCTTGCCTTTCAGAATGTTCCGGGAATTTTCGTTTAGCTTTTAACAATTGTTTATTTTTCAAGTCTTTGCGAGATTTTTCGATTTCCGCAACAATTTGTTTAGAAGGATTTAGAAATTTGATATCACCCACTATCAAAGAATGATTTAGAATTTCATCTTCTTGAGTTTGTATGGCAATGGCGGCTGTTGAGTCGGGCGCAATATTTTGAAAAGATTTGTTTTCTTTGCTTTGGTGATTACGTCCCAGCGACGATGAGGTATTATTACGATTCCATTGTGGTTTTTTGGAAATATTCGTGTTGCGATTTGTGGCAGACGGAAGTTTAGATTTAATAGGTACAGAATTTAAAATGGATGGCCCCTTTGCATTTTTGTTGTTTAGAGGCCTCGAGGAAATATTTCTAGTAATTATTTCCTTTTTAATTTCGATTTTTGAAATAATAGCAGACCTTTTGTTAGCTGTACCATCTGTAATTCTTTTACGAAGTTGTGTGATGGCTGCTTCCGGCAATTTCGATTTTGTAATACGGTTTGAATTGTCTTTACGTTTAGTAAATGTATTGGAACGAGTTGTGGGATTTGAATTATTGGTTATTAATTTCATATCCGTGTTATTTCGTACGGCCGCTGGATCCAATTTTTGTCGTTTATTACTAAGTGAGACGTTTGTTTGTCCAGTTCTTGTTTTTAAAGAATTCGCGTACATTGTTCAAAGGTAATTTGTTGCTTATTGAAGAAAATCAGTTATTATTTTTGAAACCAAAATGGATAGAGCGGAATTTTTTATCCCCAAAAAGTTTCAAGAAAAATAATTGTGTGACAAATTAGAAATTGTAATTAATTATCTTGATTTTGAAATCATAGGTTACTATATTTGTAGCCTGAGAAAAAGTAGAATATGTACCCAAAAGTGGTAAAACTTGTAGGTTCTGTAACAGAGCAAATATTTCTTAAATTCGAATTCTTGATGAAAGATTCTTCATCACAGATAAAACTGCTATTATGCCTGCGAGAGAAAATAATATGAGACCTAGTAAAAAGAGATTTCAAAATTGCTCACAAAGTGCAAAATAACATGAAATATTCTGGAAAGGAAAAATAATATAAATTACAAAATTAGATGGTATTCCAATTAGAATCAGAAGTTTAATAATAGAAAGTCTTTTTGATCTATTTTCTCTTAGTTTTGGCTTCAAGTTGTAAAGTTTGTATATACCTGTAGGTTCCAGACTCTGCAAATAAAACGTTTTTAATTATTTTTTTATTGTTAAAACATTTTTTATTTTATTTACATACTATATTAGTATAAACTAAAAATATACTAAACATATCTATTAATACATTTATTTTATTAAACATTTAAATCTTAGATAATAATTAAGTTAATAATAATTAAATTTAGTTGTCCTTTTCAAATATTCTTGAGTCCTCGCCATGCCTTTGTGAGGTTAGATTTGAATTTGTTGCTTGTTGATGGTCCTGTGGAATAAAGGAAAATAATAGAAATATAAAAAAAAAATCAAAATAATTTTTATGTTTTCAAATTCAAGCATATTTTATTATTTATTTTTATTAACCAAACCGACAGCAAATAGAAACAGCATCTTTAGATGATAATGATGATATTCAAAATGTATGTGGGTTGATGATAAAAATAATTACGAGGGCAGTTCGGAAAGTTCTTAGCCTAGCACAAAAAGTGCGGCATTTTTAATTTTTCCATTGTAAAAAATTGCGGATGCGTCTTTTTTGAAAACCTTTTTCCATTTGAAGAAGTTGCCAGATCGAAACAAAATTTAACATGTGTTCATAACAGAGATGGAAGTTTCCAAAACACTTAACTTGTTTCTGTTTATAAAATGTTAAAAATATGTCAAATGAGCAGAACGACTTGTTGCATTTGTTTTTATTTATTCTGACATGACAAGCCACAAGATAGAGTTGACAAAACATATCCTATCTTGTATAATTGTACCGTGGTTTGTTTCAAGTTAGAATTAAGAAAGTAAATGAATCAACAATATTTTACAACAAAAAATAACTTTTGTAGGGAGTTGAAATGTCGAAAATATTAAAAAAGAAATAATCTATAATTTTTTTCACTCAATTAAATTGAGAATATATTCGAAAAAGTATAGCTCAGACAAATCTGGGAAGAATTCAGTATACAATATGCTATTAATTCAAATTACAACTTCTTTGACAGTTCATTGCACCAACAGCTGTGTTAATAGTACGTTTACATTTAACCGGATTTCGTTAACCCAGTGGGTTTCAATTGCCAATTCCTTTGCATATATGTCAAATAAATCCTCATAAAGTAGGTTAACCCGGTAAAAAGTTCTAATGTAAATGCCGTTTAATGCATCAAAAAGTAGTAAAACTTTTCAAATTTACAAGTACTGCATGTCGTTAACCCAGTGAGTTTAAACTGTCAATTCCATTCGATATCTGTATGTGAAATAAATTTTTATAATGTAAAAATAATTTCGATTAATAGAAGACTTTTTACAGTTTCGGGGAAAAATCTGTTACAACAAATAAATAATTATTGTAGAGAGTTGAAATGTCAAAAATAATTTCCAAAAAATTAATCTATTTAATAAATATTTTGCATAATATTTAATTAAGAATATATTAAGGAAAAGATTGCTCAGACAAATATGGGAAGAATTCAGTATATGGGCAATATTGCCAATTTTTTAATATTCCATTTTCAAAAAATCAGCTTTTTTGTTTTTGTGGCACATAAATGATTTTTGGTACACATATAGAGAAAAATGTTCTGACTCCGAAACCGTTTGCGATCAATTTTTTGGTTGATGCGCGCAAAAGTTATCGAGGTTTTAATTTTGGGCATAAGAACAAAATCTTAAAATTACGCCGTTTATTATATTGACCAAAAACGTTGATATATATCTTCCTTCGTAAAATAAGAATATGAATATATTATAATAATCACGATAAAGTTGCACATCTTCGCGAAATATGAGAAAAATAAAAAAATATAGCAGATTACATCAATATTTTCATTATATTAATGACATACACACACCTAAAAATTAATTTAAAAATATCTACATAATCTAAACACCATGATGAATCAAATGATATCCAAATCACACAAGTCCGTGTAGCGGTTTCTAAATCGCAGCGACAACAAAACAAGATATGGAGGAAAAATATTTGTTTTTGGTTCGAAAAAATAATGTCATCATATTTATTTTTTAATTTTATACAAGAAATTTCAGAAAAAAATGGTGGGGTTATTCTGCTATTTTACCCGAATATCGCCGAAAAATTTACATATATAATAATAACCACTTTTTGTGTATAAGTATACGCCTTGCGGATTATATCAAGACCCTCCGATAAATCTTAGAATTCTATAAATAGGAATAAATCTTAAAATAAAATAATATTATGAAATATACATTTTAAATTGCGTGTAAATCGCGTAATTCTCAAAATCATTTGATGCGCATGCGGTTTCCAGGAAGTACTGAAGTTTATCTTCCAATCCATGTATATTTTGCGAAATTTCATTTGACGGCTAAGATGTGCCGCACGTCACATTGAAGTACCCAAAAAATCGTAAAACGCGAATAATTTCCAAAAACTCCATATGCCATTAACGCGCATCCGATTTCGGTGTGCACCCTAAAAAAATACATCGATCTATACCATTTCAATGTGGTCCATTAAGAACCATGGATGTGCCAGCACAATCTATTTTTGAAATAAATTGCGTACATCTCTCTTTCGGTTCTCTTTTCGAAAAAGATCAAAATCCGTATGAAGCCATTTATTGAAGCGGAAATGATACACAGAAAACGCAAATAAATCCGCGATATTTTCAAAAACATTGTTTGCAAAATTTCGTGTTTTTGGAAGGCCAGTTCCCGCCGTTCTAGTAGATGGATTTTCACGAAGAAGATTTTATATCATCTGAAACGTAAAAAACCTTATTGATCGCGGGTACCCATACCATTCAGTTGACAGATCTAAAAATTTTCCCCGAAAAATAGGTTTTTTAGAAATTTGATCGCACAAAATTCGCACCTTCGGATGAGTATTACTCTGAAGCTGTGCATACTACATACACAAAATACATATCAAATTACGCAGATTCGCGACTACAATAATCTTATAATCGATTTTTAAAAATTCCTGTTTGCGTATTAAAGCAAGAAGTAAAATTAAAAAAAACACTCAAAATCGAGCTTCAAAATGTCAGCATAATTTAAAGGTAGATGCAGTTAAAATTTTGTTGGCTTCTAGTTTTATTTTGACACGAAGACCGTGCAATGAGTGGCTTAGTCAAAAATCGATAGAGAACATAAAAAAACTGGTTCGCCTCAACCTGTTTTTACACATTTTTTTACATTAAAGAAGACACAGCTTCCACCAAAATAAAGTTTGGAGGTCATTATCATGAACAGTTTGCAACGACAGATCAATTAACCCAAAACTATTCACTGTTTTTCATATACTTAAGTAGTTCCTGAGTTATAAAGGGGTGAACCTCCGCTTCAGCTATGTTAAAAAATTGGCAATATTGCCCATATACGTTTTTTATTTAAATTACAACTTTTTTGACAGTTCATTGCACCAACAGTTGTTCTGATGGATGAACAAATTAATCCTGATTTAAAATATGCAATTTTAATATACTTTCTCCGTAACATTTATTCAGTAAGAATTTGCAGAGAGTAAATACAAATTTTTCGTTCTCAAGAGAGAAAATTACAAAAAGTAAACGAACAACATCCAGTATAAACATTGTATCGACACAGCTGATTAAAATAACAAACAATTTGTCACAAACAAAAAACAGAATTTTGATAAGAAAAATCAAAAACAAACGGAAAATTGATATTGTTTATAAATACGTGCGTTTTCTTCATCCAGTTTAATGTTTAATGATACAACATCAAAATAAAAATCACAAAACAATCAATTTGATTGAAAACAATAAGTCTGTTCGTTAACTTTCCCAGTAACATTTACTCAGTAAGAATTTGCAGAGAGTAAAATCAAATCAAAATAAAATTTCGCAAAACAATCACTTTGCTTGAGAACAATTTTCTTGTTTGTTTACAAAACATAACAAAACAACTGATTAAATATCAGCTGATAGTACTAGAAAATTCTTACTGAGTAAATTTTCCTTTGTAAGAATTTGCAAATACTCAGTAAGACAACTGTCAAATCTGCTCTCTCAATTCACTCTCTTTTACTGGACTTTTGAGTAAACAAATTATTGTTCGTTTGTAATAATTTGTAGATGAGTTATCTAAGGGGAATGGCAACCGTTCACTTCTCTCACCCATAAACTGACATTTGCCGTAAGTAAAATTAACTTATGTATTTTTGGCAAAAGCATCGAAAATAATTTCGATTAATAGAAGATTCTTGCAGATTCTGGAATGAAATATAATTGCTCTTTTTCTGTACTGCGAGAATCTACTAATTTTTATTTATTTTTATTTTTAAAATTCTTATCGAACTAAAAATTTGCAAATTTTTGCAGGTCCTGGAACAGGCCAAGTATACGTCTGTTCCACCAACCAGCAAAAATGTACAATTTTCCCTTTATGATATCCCATAGAAATAGTAAAAACTAGCAGATTCTTGCAGTATTTTCTATGGCGACATTCATGGTACAATTTTACAAGGTAACTGCAAAACTACAACAAATACAATTCAAATCAAATCAGCTAAGTATTGCAGTTACCTTGTATAATTGTACCATGGACGACATTGTTTATCTACTGCAAATTGAATTAATATTAAACTAAAATGAAATGATGATGATGATTCGAAGTTAGCATCCGTCCCCAACCATTAAGCAAATGATGATTATTAATACTCTGATGATTTATTTTTTTCGATAAGGAATACTTTGCAAATTTTATTTGAAATATATAATCATTTATTATTTTTTATATAATTATATATTTAATTGAATATATATGTATTTTTAATATAATTTTTAAACTACTTTGCATTGCTACAAAAAACAAATGTTATGTTAATATTTTATTTTCTTTAAAGCCGACAATTGTGACAAAAAATTAATTTTTTTTAAGATTTATTAAACCCTTATGATATAGGTAGTACTTGTTTTTTGATCTTTTCTTCTTTATATTAGATTTAGTTTTTTTAGTTATTTATTTATAAAAAGTAAACAAACAAATTTATGAAATATATATTGCATTTATATTATTAAATAATATATTATTGAAAAATAATAATAATAAAATTAAATCAAATATATAATTATTATCAACTATGATTTGGTTTAGTTGTGAGTCGTCGTCATCTTCATCGTAGCAGCTGATGATGATTGATATTCAGTAATAATAATAATTTAAATTTGGTAAGTTAAAATATACGTTTAAATAATTAATAAAATTATTATTCAATTTTTTAAATTTATTAATTTTTTATTATATGACAAGTTTGCATATTATTTGGAAATATTTTTGTTCGTAAAAATTTGTTAGTTTTTCTTTCGATTTCGTATTGGATTCATTTTATTGTTCTTTTCACAATTTATTTTTTCTTTCTTTGAGGTTATTATTTTTTTTATACCATTTTCACATGTAAATCTGAATATTTTATTGAGAATTTCAATTGAAAATATCGCATTAAAAATATCTTTTCACATGTAAATCTGAATATTTTATTGAGAATTTCAATTGAAAATATCGCATTAAAAATATATTTTCCATTTAAAATTTATTTAAATAATTTTATTTAAATTATTTATTAACAAACAAGGGAAAATAAAGAAACTGTAAATAGTAGATTTTGGTAGAAGAAGTCAAAAATCAATAAATAGTTAAATAATGTTCTAGAATAAAACATATATATGTAGTAATGTAGGAAAGTAAACTTATTTATAACTCTTTTTCCATCGGAGAAAATATCAAAATGAGGACTCCCAAACTGTTATTTGAAGTGGTCTTAATTCTTACTTAGTGAACCCTTCATTAGTTTCGATAACAGAAAATCGATCGTCTAATAATTTCAAATAAATATATTTAACAATTAAAATATAATTATTGAATTTAATACAATTTGATTAAAAGAATTAAATAATTTTTAAAATATATATAATTTTTTATTGGAAAATTTTAAATATTAAAATGCAACCATTTATATTCCGATTTACATGTGAAAATACTTACTTTGAATTTTAAACAAAAACTATAAATTATGAATAATTATTTGTTTTTAGGTTATGTTGTTATACTATATATTAGAAAAAATATATATCTATATATATAAACTATTTTTATATTTCTTTCTTTACAATTAGTTAAACTATATATGTATGTATGAATCGATTTTGGTTAGAGTTCTATTAGATGAAATATTATATTTATATATTAAGGCCCAGGAGGTTATTTGAATGAAACCAATTGATATAGATGGTAGGAGATGCAGATTTGTTACAGTGTAGCATAAAAGTTGTAAGCAAATACCATAACTACACGATCAAATTCCATCACTCTTCAATATCACCAACATTTTTTCCACAACTACGTTCTTCTTCCACTCTCTACAAACAAATACGTTTAACACCGCAATCCATACAAAATTTAGCCGTATCTATCAAAAATTTTGTGCCACATTCATGACAGAATTTTGACATTTTCATACTTGAACTCATTGTTGAACTGGAGCCATACAATTGATTTGTCGAACTTGCTGGGGTTTCACGATTCGAATTCATCATCATTGACTGTTGGGTAGTATTTGGTGTTGAAGTCAAACCCATTGTAGGATGTAGGGGTGTTGTGCTGCTAGTATCGTAATTGTTATTATTATTATTATTACGTTCATAACGTAACATCATCTCATCCAAATCGTGACTGGTATTATTGTTGTTGTTATACAATTGTGTTTGTTGTTTTTGGTAAATGTTGTTGTTGTTGTTAGTATTGCTATTAATATTTTGTCCACCCATAATTGGTGGTAAGGCATGTTCCGAACTACTGCTCGATGAGGCACTTAATTGTCGACAACGTTCCTCGGCTAAGGGTCGACTTATAACCACATTACCCGCGCCATTTGGATTAGTTGTTAAGCTTCGATTACGACTAGAATTACGTGGGTTAGTTAGTTCGGAAGAACGTTGACGCGAGAGACTGTCAAAGAAAAATAAGGAAGAGGTTAGAGATATTAATAAAAATAATTAAAGAATGTAAATAAGTAAAAAATGTCGTTAGGTTCATCCGTGTCGAATTTTTTATATTTCGTCAAAACCTTCTAAGACCAATTACCTTAGATTTTTACGAATTGTTTTCGTTAAAAGTATATTTCTAAAAAATCCTATCAGGAGAATAATTAAGAATTTTCTAAGGATAACGTAAAAATGTATGGGCGTGGATTTTTTAAAGAGTATTTCAAGAAGCACGAATATAATTTTAGGCTTGGTTTTTGAAAGACTATTTTAAAGAACACCACCAGAATTATACACTTTGTTTTTTAAGTATACTTCAAGGAGCACGATAAGAATTATATTCCTTTTTTTTTTAAATAATATTTTAAGGAGCACCAAGAGATTTATATACGTAGATTTTCAAAGTATATTTTTCAAGGAACACCAATAGAATTTTAGGCTTGGGTTTTAAAGAATATTTTAAAGATCACCAATAGAATAAAAGACTTTGTTTTTTAATGAATATTTCAAGGAGCACCAATAGGATTATAGGTTTGGTTTTTTAAGGAATATTTTAAGGAGCACAAATAAATTAATAGGCGTGTTTTTTTAAAAGAAAAAAATTATGGAGCACCAATAGCTTGGATGCTATATGTTCCGAGTAAGAATTCCATCTGAAAAATTCGGTTTATACCTACTGCATATGCTAATTGGGGAGAGTACTTTATATGGAACTCCATGAACATGGTTGGAAAATGGCCTTGGAACAATGGAAATATCTAATGCGGGACCTAATAATGGCTGCCATGTCAAGGCATGCCGGTAAATTACAGGCACTTCGGTGGGAACTATGTACTATGAAAATACCTAATATGAGACGGGATATTTTTCTATGGGGACTATGCCAAAACATTTACCTATATTGAAAATGTTCTGTTTTTCACCCACCATGATCCGGGAATAGCATATTACAGCCTCTTCGGTAAAAAATGCTTCAATGACTAACAAATACCTGTGAAAAGTTGTTTCGCCCTTCAAGAATTCGGAACGCCCACTCTCTAGAGGGGAACAGGCGAATTTTATACCGATCGGAATTATCTTTGTCCCCATATGCTTCGCTTAGAAGATTACGCCCTTCAGCAGAATTGCGTTGACTAGCCGTCCCCGATAATTGGATGGCTGATGAAGCAGCGATGGTTGTTGCTGCTGCTTTTAGAACTGGATTGGGAAGCCGGATGGGCTGGAAGGTTTTTGATTTGGAATTGGGGCTCCATTTTGATTTTCTGTTTTATTTACTAAAGGGAAAAAACTATGTGACCAACACTTCGGCAGAAAAATGCAGCCAAAACTTTAAAAAATCCAAAATAAAGCTGAACAGACGAATTTTATACCGATCAGAATTGTCTTTGGGGTCCGTCGTAATAAAATTAATTTAGATTTAGTTCCGTAAGACCCTTTAAGTTCAATCGTCCATTTTCCGTTCAATTCTGTCGATCGTTCATTATTATTATTTTTCACTTACCTCCCATAGGCCGAGTCTGCACTCGTTTTGGAACTAACACCCAAACGTGAATTGGGCGACGACAACGGATAACCATCTAAACTACTCAATTCATCCGAATCGGCATAGGCATCACCGCTGGGTGTTCCTGTGGCCTTGTTCACCTTATTGCGATTATTCATCATCATCGTCGTCATTGTCGTGGCGGTCGACGTCACGTGATCACCGGTTCGTTGCTGTTCCATAGATTGTCTCAGATTGGCGGCCATTTCATCACTCAGCTGGCGGAAATCTTTTTGCATTTTTTGTATAAGATTTTTAGCGTTATTCAATTGAACATCGGGTTTATTAGTATTTATAAAATGGCCATTAAAGTGATTACCTCCTGCTGCTCCGTGCGATGCTGTTGTTGCCGTTGACGTGGCAATGGGTATACCACGACTGCGGGGTATAGATGATAAATTGTGCTGGTGCTGTTGTTGCTGCTGTTCATCATCATCACTGATTTTACTGAATTTATTATCGGCAGCATCCACCTCAATTTCGGCCAGACATTGAGGGTTACCCATCATCATGTCACGTATGGAATTGGGGGATATGGGTTCCTTATCCAAATCATTTTGTTCGGTTTCTATGCTAATGAATATTTCCCGTTTCTGATGGTTGACCAAACCCAGCTCATCATCATCACTAGCAAGGGATTTTTCGTTATATCTATTTTTGGTAGCTCTATTTTGGGGGGAGAAGGAATCGAAAAGACCTTTAGGATGGGCTGGTAAATTGGGGAATTGAAAATGGTGTTGGGGATTTGAGTTACTATTTGTGTTATTGTTGTTGTTATTATTACTGTTAGTGTGACTATTAAGGGGTGGGAATGTGGATTTCTGTTGGGGGACAGTATTGCTGTTGCTGTTCACATTGGAATTCGGCATTAACATCGATCTTTGTTTCTTCGATGTCCGATTCAATAGAAATTCTCGACAATCCTTAAATAGAGGAAATTGTTCTTCATCATTTTCGAATGATGACAGGAATTCCTCAAAGTCAAAATCATCAAATTCAGCCGGCAATGAAGGCGGTGGCACAAATGGCTCCTCCAAATTGTTCATTTGGGCACTGAGACGATCGAAGGCCTTTTGATGTTCCTTCATGAAGTTGTCACACTCCATGGACGAACGATTGGCTTCATCATCAGCCGAACATGAATCAGCCTCCGGAGAGGCATCGTATAAGAATTGATTGCGACCGAGGCGTATGCGTCGCTTTAGAAGATTACGTCCCTCAGCAGAATTGCGTTGACTAGCCGTCGCCGACAATTGGCTAGATGGCTGATGATGCAGCTGTGGTTGTTGCTGCTGCTGTTTTTGGGGAATAGCACTGGATTGGGAAGCCGCAGGGGCTGTGGAAGGTTTTTGATTTGGAATTGGGGCTCCATTTTGATTTTCCGATTTATTAACTGAAGGCAAAAACTTTGTGGCTGATGGTGGTACTGATGCTTCCGACGAGGAGGAAGATAAATGTTCACGACGATTTATTTCCACAGAATCCGCCGCATCGGAGTGCTTAAAATCATTACGTAATTTATTTAAATTAATTGGTAAATTATCACATTTGTTAATTAATTTGGGATCGATGTAATCGGAACCCAAAGAAGTTTTACGCTCTTCAGTGGATTTTTGATTGTTGGTGGTACCAAATATGGAGCTAAGGGCCACGGGTTTTTGAGATATTTGTGGTTTAATTTGTTCCAAGGGTTGCAAAGTTGCCTTGGTATTCAAGGGGGTTAGGGGTTTGTTCAAAGGGGTAGAGGGTTTGGTCAAGGGTGTAGAGGGTTTGGTCAAGGGCGTGGATGGCTTGCTTATTGGTATTGCCACAGGTGTGGAGGGTTTTGTTAAATGCTGTCCATTGCTGTGGGGTGTGATGAGTGGTGTTGTGGGCTTGGAATTCAGTGGGGCCAAACGAACGGAATTATATTTCCCCGATGCTTCTGGAGTTATTGGTTTTTGTTCGCAGTTTTCATTCGGTTCATTTAAACTAAGCTCCAACAAATCAGCTTTAATATTTTTCGCTGAATTTTGTTTGCTCAAATTGTTGCTTTTGTCCTTTAGCTCCTTGGCATTGAGAGGGCCATCCAAATTTGCCAATACTGCTGGGGTAGTTGCGCTCGAGCTATTGTTGCCATTTTGATCGGTAGGTGATTCCGTAATAGTTTCGCTTGTTGTAGTATTCGCTGCCTTATTCAGTTTTTCCAATTCGTGTTCATATTTCAGGAAAACAGCCAATGAATCGGTTTTGTTGACATAACGTGAAGCGGTATTGGGAGCACTTTCTGTTTCACTGGTATTGGGTGTTAGACCACTGCTGGAATTACCAGCAGCCTCATTGGCAGCATTTATGTTCAATTTCAAAGGCTGTTTACGATTGGAAGCTGATGTGTCACGGCGTACCACTCGTGGACTTTTCGTTATAGCATAATCGTTGACACACACCGATCGAACAGGCATTTCATCATATTCTTCGGGTTTCATGAAATTCGATGATATGGGCCCCTCATCAGAGAGACCCCTTTGTATGGTGGGTCTATGCTTTTGGGCAAATAGGGGTACACGTTGTGTCAGCAGTGGTGAACGACGTGGACAACGCAATGAGCCAGTACGTCGGAAGCTCGATGATCTGGTTAGAGTGGGAGTCTTAGATGTTTGTGACGTTGTAGTATTGGGACTAGATGTTGTATTATTTGTGCTCGATGTCGAACTACTACCAAGTGTTAGAGAGGTGGACATTTTATTTGTGTTATTTGTTGCAGCCGCCGGTGTCGATGGCAAGCTGGGCAGTTGTGGTGTTGTTGGAGAATCGGTGGCTGTGGGTGAACAGAGTTCCTCAAGTTGTCGTTTAGCCGATAAAAATGGATCGTAATTATCGGGTAGGCCACTGAAATGAGTTTAATGTAAAAGGGAATTAAAAAATGTGTACGTTTTGTAGGTGTTTTGGAGAATTGATCAGATATCAAATCAAAATGACATTTTTAAAATACAGTATATCAAGAATGAGTTTACAGCTTGAATAAATAAAAAATGTTTCTTTTTTCATTTATCATATAAATATCTAAAATAACATCATGAGTACTATTTCGGGATTCTACATTTGATAATGTTTAATAATTATCCATTTGTAAACTCATTTTTGACATACTTTATATCGGAAAAAGCAATGAAAAATTCTGAGAAATTGCGATACCCAGAACTCAGCAGTAATACACTTGGAAGTTGATGTCAGAAAATGGAGGATCTTCTACATGTAGAGGTAGAATACCTTTATACATCGTCCAGAAGTAAAAGGCAACAGATCTAAAAATTACTCCTGTTTCAGAAAAATCTAAATAAGAAGATCTAAATAAGGTCTTCTGTCTTTCATACATTTTTTCCGGATGAACTGAAGAAGAAGGCTTTCTGTCTTTCATGCATGGATCAATTATTGTTCATATAAATAAAAGTTTATAAAATATTTTTGAACAGAGTCAATGAGAATTACTTCAAGGCTATTTCACACACTTCACACACAAGCTGACACTCATTACCGTACTTACCTTATAACAAATGAGTCGCTGCGTATTAAACGAATAAATGTTGATTGCTTATTTAATTCTGCTCTCTTTTGAATCTCACTAGACCTTCTATGAATCTTTTAGAGACAAAAGGCAACAGATCTAAAAAATTACTTCAGTTTCAGAAAAGTCTAAATAAGTTACTTTCTTTTCGAAAAAACCAAATAAGGTCTTCTGTCTTTCAAACATTTTTTCTCCGGATGAACTGAAGAAGGCCTATTTGTCGTTCATGCATGGACCTTTTCAAGATATTAGTTTTTCCGTATACAACTATTGGTCATATAAATAAAAATTATTCCCCAAAAATTATTATAAAATGTTTTTCAACAAAGTCAGTGAGAATTACCTCAAGGCAATTTCACATACTTCACAATCAACGTGAACACTCATTACCGCACTTACCTTATAACAAATGAGTCGCTACGAATTAAACGAGTAGCTGTTAATTGTTTACATAATTCTGGTCTCTTTTGACTCTCACTAGAAGCTAATGTCTCTTCCTCCACAGCATGATGCTCTTCACTTTCGCTCTCAGTATTAATATGGTCTCCAAGGCTTTGATTAATTATCTCTTTCTCATTATCACTTACTTCTGCTACCTTTTGTTCTTCATCTGATTCTTCATCTCTCTTTACGCTGTCGATTTCTTCTGGCTCCTCGTTTTTTAAATGCGAAGCCGGTGAGATACCATAAATCTCAATTGTTTCCTGTTTCAAAGGTAAAGCTTTCATGGGCTGAGAGAGTTTACTCTCTGCCTTAGTACTGTCAATTCTCTTACGATTTGCTTTGCAAATACTCAACGACTTTACCGGGCTCTTTTCCAGTTTGAGGTGGGTTTTTTCGGAGTTTAAGGACACCGTGGAACGTGGTGTTGATTCTAGAGATTTGTTGGATTGTGATATAGCCGGAGGAGGGGGAGGAGTAGATGCTCTCTCTTTTTTTGCATACAAGATGCGAGGTGTTGAATCAGCTGTATTCGGAATTTGAAGCTTCAGGTTATTTGGAGGTGTTAATTTAGGTTCCAATGATCTAATTGATCTTGATGTGGATTCAATAGACCGAGTAGCTGGAGTTGAAGCGTTTCCTCTAGCGGAATATACATTTTCAGATTTTTGTTTTAAACCTAGGCTTTCCGTTGCATCCAATACGGCCTCCCGAAAAATATCTGCACGTTCATTGTTATTTAAGGGTGCCGCTTGTCGCCTGGGTGGACTAAATCCACGAAAGTTATATTTCATAGAACTCAAATCATCATTGGTACAGGGTCTCATATCTTCCAAATTCTCCGGAGGTGTAATAAACTCCTCTTCAGTATCTTCTGAATCCGATTTCACATAAGTCTCAGTGGTAGATATCGAAGTTTTAAGGGTACTATTCAATTCATTATCTTCTTCATGTGTTGAGGCTACATCAAATTCAAGCTGTAAGGATTTCGAATACACATCGGGTAGTGGTGTCGAAGTTTTCTTATAGATATCAAATTCCGACGATAGATTAGATGCTGAGGCTTCTCGCAATTTAAGTTTCTCTAATGTTTCATATGCTTTTTGCAGAATATCATTACTATTTCCACGGGATGTTGAACTTGGTGTTGATGATCTTCGGGAAGAATTTCTGGCCGAGAGATCGGTAGGGTTTTGTGTAATTTCCAGTATGGCATTTAAACTATTTTTGGAAACTGATCTTGAAAGGGAGAGAGGTTTCCGGGTGCACTGATCTTCAGAGAATTGTCTAGAAATTGTTGTTATATTTAAGCTCTCCTTGGAAACGGTTCGGGATAATGATTTAATATCGGGTAAAGTTCCACTTTTACTTAGAGCGGTTTTGGAAGTTCCTCCCTCTCTTTGAAGTATTTCTTGCTCTCTTACCAAATCAGATTTCTTCTCAACATCTCTTTGCATAATATTTTGCTCTCTTCTTTCCTGTAGCCTCTCTTTAGAAAGCGATTTAAGTAGATTTTTAAGCTGAGGACGTATTTTCAATTCATCCAAATATTTTTGCTGTAAATCTGAGTCGATTACACCTGGTAAATCTCCTTCTAAAATAGTTTTATTATCATTATTTTTGAGGCGTTTCGTAAAGGTTTTTGAGATTTGTGTAGTGTCCCGAATCAGATTTTTTGGTTCCAGTAAACGTTTTGGTAACTCAGCAGTGCGATATTCTTTTCTCATCTTTTCAGTTGGTTTTTGTGATTCTTTTCTTAAGGTTATGGGTTTCTTTGAACCCTGTACTCGGGTTTCTTGTACCGCAGGCAAACACTCTGACATATCTAAGACATGGGGAGATCTGTTGGTTTCCTTTTCTTCCTTGGCCGGTTCATTGAGTGTAAAATATTCTTCCATGGTTAATTTTGGTGTATCATCTGCGTCTGAGAAATTGGTGATTTCTTTGGTGGTTGTTGAATAAAATGTCAAAGATTTCGCCAGGTCTATTTTTCGGTCGGGTGAGATATTTTCTATAATATTTTTGAGTTGGAATATTTTAAATGAATTAAAAAAAATCGTAATTTTTATGCGATTGTTTGGTTTGAAAGTTTTCTCTTAGTTGGATTCCGTTCATAAGACAAAAAAGGTAGTTCATACTTTTAAAGGCATGTTGGAGGATTTCTATGACCACAATATTTTTAACGGGCCATTTATCTGTAGATCTAGAGGGTGTCTTCTATGTTAGGAGGACTTTTGATATTGTAACCTTGTAGGATATCTTCTATATCTTTTAAAACTGAAAGAGGAGATGTTACTTTATGTCTTTTAGGTAAAAAGAGCTTCTACTGTGCCTAGAAGACGTATAGTATTTTTTTTCTGGAAGAAAAAGGCCAACACGACGGTACACGACGAAAATGTCAGCTTTGTATAGGATATCTGTAGGCCTATTCTGTAACTTTTAACAACATTCAATATTGTTTAAATTTCTTTTGTTATTGTAAAAACAATAAAACAAACAAATGAAATTGTTGTAAAATAGACAATATCGAATGTTGTTAAAAAATTACATAACACAGGGGCCGCAATGTCCTTTTGGGTCTGGAATTCATGTGAAAAGTATAGATAATTTTTTCGTGGACTTCTTTATATAAACGTTATGTAGGAACCCTTCTATGTCTAGAAGGTAAGTAGTACGTCTACTAGGTTTGGAAGTTTTGAAGGTGGTTTTATGGGTATAGAAATCCTGTAAGAGGTCTTCTGGGTCTAGAAGTTGTGTATCAGGTTTTCTATGTCTATAAGATGTGTAAAAGGTATCCTTCGAATTGATGATACATAGCAGGACTTCATCTAATAATCTGTAGTAGATTTTCTACAAGGTCTGGAAGTCTTGTAGGTGGTTTTATAGAGGTAGAAGTTCTGTAAGAGGTCTTGTGTATCAGATCTTCTATGTCTATAAGATGTGTAAAAGGTATTCTACGTATAGATGACACTTAGGAGGACTTGTATATCTAAAAAACGAAACATCTTCCAGGTCCAGAAGTCTTTTAGGTGGCCTTCTGATTATAGAAGTCGTGCATGAGTTGTTTTTGGTTTAGAACTCCTGCATTCGTTCCTCTATGTATAGATAATCTGTAAAATATCTCTTATCGGAGAACTTCTATGTATAGTGGAATTTTTTTATGTTACACATTTGTAGGATACATTCTACGCCTAAAAAAATGAGAACGTCTTACTAGCATGAAAGTCTTTTGGTGGCCTTCTGGGTTTTGATGTCCTATAAGAGGTTTTCCGGATTTTGAAGCCCTCTAAGAGATATTCTATGTGAGAGGACTGGATTTAGAAGCCCTCTAAGAGGTATTCTATGTGTAGAAGATATGTATATGGTATCATACCAATAGGGTGCTCATGTATATTGGAATTATAGAAGGTCATTTATGCCTAGAAGACCAGTGTCTTATGTTGTGTTATATTTCTCGAAGATCTGTAGAATTCAGGGCGTGTACTAAGTATTAAAGTACCTTTATACGTATATCTAGAAAACTTTTAGTGCATAGAAGACTTGTAGGTTCTCTACGATGATTTACGCGAGTCTTCTGGAAGTTCTGCAGGTTGTCTTCTGGCTTTAGAGTTCTCTAGGAGATTTTCTATGTAAAAACGAAGATCAAAGAACTGTAATGTAGATTTGTCAAGACTAATTTTTAGGAATTATTTTATTGAAGGCAGGGTTCATAACGTTTTAATCTTTAGTTTTCTGAAATAATAATTTTTCAAGAACCCAGAGATCTATAAGAGGTGAATTATTACCGAATTATTTTTAAAGCACCCAGAGAGCAAGAGGTGAATTGTCTTTTTAAGGCTTATTTTTTTGGGGTCATCGGACTTTCTGGACTGGATTTTGTAAT